CTCACACACATAAAATAAAGGCATGCCATACCTCTCTTTAACATTTTTATAAGAAAGTGTGTGTGTGTGTGTGTGTGTGTGTGTGTGTGTGTGTGTGTGTGTGTGTGTGTGTGTGTGTTCATTTATGAGTCTTGACACTGAATTCAGACACTGCTTATGGCAGTGTGGGTGTTCTGACTCACATTTAGTTCACAGAAATGCATGATGGGTTGCTATTGTTTCCTACTCACATACTTCCAGGGTGGTCTCAGAAGAATTTGATAGTCTTGCCTCAGATATTTTAAAAATGATCCCTTCTTACTCTCTTTCTCCTCTCGAATTCGGAAATCTATTCTTTTTTTGACATGTATGTCCAGGACTACTTAAACTACATTCCTGAGGAGATGAAGCTACTGGCATCCACATGCCTAGTTGTAGGGTCTTCCCAGAGAGAGGCATCTGATGGATAAAGAGATAAAGCTCTTGCTGGACTTCACAGTTTGAACAAGAGAGATAGAGCAAGTCTTTGCCAGACACCAGACACAAGATGGTTGAAATAGGCAATCAAAAGATCATTGGGAAATTAGAGACTAATTAATAGTAGTTATCTGGAGATAAACTCTCTAGAATAGTGTTCATCAAACTATCATGCCCTATTTGAGTCAGAGTCAGCCTGACTCAGAGATAAAGTGAAGTCTGAGGATGATAGAATAGAGAGATCGATGGTATCAGATAAAAGACAAAACAGTGAGATCAATGAAAAAAATTAAGTTTGGCGAGAAGATAATATTCTAAGAAAAGGTGTAGTAGGTAAAGAGGTAGAGTCCAGAGATAAAGTGAGGTCTGTCTGTTTGGGGAACAGGATCCTGTATCTGTATGCACTTTGAAGAAAGAGAAGAAATGGCAAGTGGTGAGTGCAAAAAAAAAAAATCTAATAAGAACATGAAATCTAGTCACAGAAAGGACTCAGATGGCAGAGAGAAACAATAATAAGAGTAAACCAGAGAGAAACTAAGATTAGGGGCAGAGAGGACCCTGTTTGCAAAGACAAGAAAGTCAATTACGAAGGTGAACAAAGCATACATGAAGAGTTAGCAGAACCCAGAGGATATAAAACCATTGGTAGGGCACAAGGAAACTGATCAGTGATAATAGTGTTAGCTAATATCTGAGTGGCCTCTGGTGATAGAGAAAAGGCCAATGATGTGAGTAAAAGAAGCTCTGAGGGAGAAGGACTCCATGTGAAGTTATGACAAAATGAGAAGAAAGGAGATAGTGAAGGAGAATAGGTGAGAGCTGAGATAGTAACCGCTGGAGAAGGGCTTTCACAGAGTGCTCAGGACAAGATGACAAAAAGACCAGAACTAGAGAGAGCTAAGCAGCAGGTGGTTAGTAATTGCACCTATGGTGTGTTTTCTAAAAGAGCGAATGTCAGAGATAGAGAAAGCTAAAGTCAAAAAGTTGTGGGAGCCAAGAGACAAAGAAGACACAGCCCCCAGAAGTTCCCCACACAGCAGCTCAACTTTTGCCATTGCTACGGCAGTGATCTTACTGCAAGAATTAGTGGCAGTCGCTCTTAAGAGAGACCTTGTTCACGTGGCTGCTGGAGACAGAAGATACAAGCTCTAGACCAGAGAACAGGGACAGAAGGAGCTGGTATTCCTAGCTGGATTCACATTTTCCCACATCCCTGACTTCTCCAAATTCCTTTTGTTTTCACCCTAAGGCTTTCTTCACGTTGTCTTCCCTATGGTTTCTCCTAATCAAGGTCAACCTAAACTGTACTAGGGCTCTGGAATTTCATAGGTCATACAGGAAAGAAAGATCTGGAAAAGAGATTTACCTCTCCGTAGTCTCTATCCCAAACTGAGCCCACAAATCCATTATTTTGGGTAGAGTAAGTGGGAATCCTCGTTAACATAACCCAGTGTCTTATAAGAGCAGCTGATGTTATATATAA